TTTCGTGATCCAAGTGATAATATTTATTTATATTGACTTAATATCTTTAAAACCATTACTTATAAAGTTTAGTAAATTTTTTATATGATTTATACATGTCAAAACTATTACCTAGATTTTGTCTTTTGCTTATCTTTTATTTTTCATAGTTATTTGAATTCATTTGACATTTGCATTTATTTGGTTAAATTTTTACTTTTAATTAAATTGGATTTTGATAAGCGTATATCGATTTTATATTGTAAGTACTATTTAGCATAAAAATTTTAAAAAACCGGTAATAGCCCTAAAGCTCTATACGGATCGGGCCGGATTTTGAAAAATAGGCCGATTACTTTTTGGGCCGGACCGGGTTTATTTATATGCGGGTTTTGCGGTTTTTGGTTCGAGCCGGCCGGGACATGCCTATTGTAAACTGTGTGCCTTTCGTCTCGCCACCACCATCCCCCCACACAGCGTCGGAGTGCTGAACCAAATGGCTTTGAGACTGTCGACGCTAAAACGCGCCGCGGTTGAATCACGGCGCATGTTTGAACCCCGAAGCTTCAGACACTTTTCCGCTATTCCTCCTCCTTTAAGCGGCGCCTTTGATCGCCCCACCGCTTCGCCGCCGCTGGTTTTACCGGAGTTCTATCAGGATCAACTTGATTTTAATGATGACAAGAGTTTCGGATTCGGTTTCCCAAGTTTCTATTTCGGTGGATCCACGGAGTTAATGGCTGTGCCCAAGAAGAAGGTAAATGGATTTCGATTCTCCTAATTGTCTGCAAATATGCAAATTTGAGAGTTTTTTTTTTTAGGGTTTGAAGTGTTGTTGGGTCGGAGATTAGCTCTTTTGACGGAATTTTGTTTCCCTCTAGGGTTTTAGGGAGGTTTACGATTGGTTGCCTTGTATGTTCAATTACATTTCCTGGTAAAGATCCGATCTTGATATCATAAGCGGCAGATTTTGACTTGAGTAAACAAGAATCAAGAGCCATAATCTCAGAAATCATCATAAATGTTGTCTCTTTGGCTTTTTTTTTTGGCCATTTCAAAGCTCAT